TCCCCCTCCCCCTCCCTTTCCCCCCCTTCCCCTCCCTCACTTCCCAGAACTGAACACAGGGTTACCAAGCCATTATAATATCCACAACTTATCTACCATACTCTCTAATTTTAAAATAAACAACATCCTAATTTCTTTAACCCCCTTCATAACATTCATTCTACTAACATAAGAAAAAATTTTATTCATAACCTACATGGTAATTTTTTATCTCATATCTCTTCTGCTTACATTCTTCTTGATAATTAAGGCTTATGGCAAGATATTAGCAATGCATAAGGCAAACTAAAATACAACAAAATCTATGTTAGCAGGGCAACAGTACTATAAAACCCATATTTCAGGTATTACAAAGTCCATCCTATGTGTCATCTAAAACACTGCTTTAAGGAATAGATTCTTTGCAAGCTGTATTGCATAAAATGCCAAGTCAAAGCTGATAAGCTACATATTAACCTGAAATACCTCTATTAAAGTATCAGCCTTAGCCTTCGCTTGGTTGACTTTGTTGGGTTACAAACAGTGCATTGGATCTGTTGGTTTCCATTAATCTCATTTATATTTAATTGAATGCAGTTAATATCACTTTCCCTCTTGTATACTTGTCTCTCATCACATGAAACCCTTTCAGTGAGTGTAACTTTGGAGAATGGGCACCTTTCCTTTCGTGAGTAGAAACCAGAGTGTCCTCTTTTCAAGTGCAGATTATATTTGGTCACTGTTTAGCTCTGAGCAGCTCTGGCACAAGTACCAATTTTGGAAGATTATCTTCAATATGATCTATGAAGGGGAACAGCAATTGTCAAGATTTGGGACTGAAAATTAATCGTTAATTAATGTTTAAAAACCGCTAAGCCTTGCTTGTATTTCAGCTCTTTGCAACCCTGGCCCCTTCCTCCTGCCCCAGGGCTGCTCTGGAATGCATTTTCCTACTTGAATAGTTCGTTTAAGGAATTAGTTTGTGCTCTTCCTGGTTAGTATAACCAATACTGGGATTTAACTGAGCCCCCATATGAATCTGGGCCAACAGTTTGACCTGAGATATTCACAAAGCAATCCTGTGTGCATCTGGGGGGGGGGGGGG